TAATAGTTTTATATAATATGCAATACATTTTTAGTGCTAAGATGTTTTTTAGTTTATAATTCGCTAACAATAATTTAGTTTAATTCTCATGTCTAAGCAAAGGTACAGAAAACACATTTTTTGTTTGTTGTGTAAAGCGATTTGCCAGCAGGCAAATGCGATTTCTTCACATTTTCCTGTTTTTAATGAATGAAAAGAAAAAATAGAAAGAAAGATAAAAATGATAATTCTAGATGAGAAATAACACCGCGCGTGCCTTGGCCAATTCATTTACAATAACAAATTAATAAATGGAAAGCAAAATATGTAAAAAAAAGAAACTTTAAATACTTTTATTGTGTTTTTCTTAAATGGGAAACGAAGCCTAAGTCTGAAATCAGAGAAAATAGAAGTCTACAAAATCGCATCAATCTTCCTTAAAGATGTCAGCTGCTGTGTGTTGCATATGCAACTTTCTCTGACACCCAATAAACAAGCCATCATAAAACATCGCTAAAATAACTTTAATCACTGCCTAACACACTTCTCAGTAGACTCCGCCACAGAAGAAGACTCAAGAGGAGATCAGCTCGCTTCATTTAGCCTTCATTTCAAAATCGAATCCCTCGCCACCCTTATCATTTACGCTGCATAGCAACAGCGAACTGAAGAAGCAATTACAAATTAAATTAGTAATTAAGTTTAATTTTAATAAATAAAAATAAATAAAACAGATTCAGGGAAAACTCATGTTTGGTTCTATGGCTAGAGCTGTTCTTTAAGCAACATTTTCCTCATGAAGCTGCTAAGATTTAGCTGAGTCTAAGTTGCTTTCATTTAGTTTTTAATACTCGTCAAAAAGTTAGGGTAAGTATATGTCGAGTCAACTTTCGTAAGAAGTAAATAGACTATGCTATGCTTTGGCTGTATTTTTTTTTAGAGCTATACAAGTTTAAATCATAATAAAACATAGAAATATATTTTTAATATCAAAGAAAAGAAGCTTTTGGGAATAATAATAATATGACATTAATTTTTAATGTTTAAAACTCACGTGATTATGGCGCTGAGCTATCAATTCAACGAGAAACATTTTACTCTTGCTTAGAACTGAGACACGTGCGCCATATTTTGAGACAACTTTATATATAGCCTCGACTGCTAATTTGTATGAAGGAACTTAAAGATATGTTCAACAATTCTTCAAGAAAGAAATCTTCTAGCCCAAGCTGCAAGATATGTCTATGTTTCTAACAGTCGTTAGTTCTTTAAGGAAAGACTTTCAGATCTTTGCTTGGGCTGAAACTTGCACACAATTATAGCAGCTTAAATGAGTTCAAATAAAAGGCGAAATTTGAAATTTTAATAATTTGTTTTTTGGTTTTTATTTTCACATTGTAAATTTAATAATTATAATAATTTTGTAAATGTATCAAGACAAAAATGTTTTATCCGTTGGCTTATTTTGATTAAAATACATTTATGCATTATATATATATGTATATATATATATATATATATATATATATATTTGAAATATAAGTTATTTAAATTGTTGTTTATTTAGCATTTCACTTCGTTATTTTTGTTTAACATTTGATGCCCTCTTAACTGAAACAAACTTGTTTCTGCTTTTTTCATTTTGAATAAGAAATATAAAACAAATAATACAAGCACATACTTTGTACGAAACCTACGCTGTATGCGATCGATCCTAACTATTCCGATCTCATATTTTCTCACGCTTATTTACATGAAAATCTCTGGCGAACAACTTTAACAGAGGAGACGAAAGAAATGTTATTTGGGGAACTTAATGCTTAAATGTAAATATAACTAACAAGAGTTTACAGTGTGTGTGGGTGTATAGGTGTGTGTGCACGTGTGTCTGTGTGTGTGTATCTCATATAAGGCCCTAGATTGCAAATATTATCGCCGACATGCATCCATCACAATGAAAAATATTTGCGCTTAAATTTAATGAATTCGTTTCATTTGTTGTAAGTTAACATTTATGTACGCGTTCTTTAACTAATCTAATTTATTATATATTTATAATTTATAATTAATAATTTATAATTTATGCTAAACGAGTGCTTAACTTCTTATAGTTGAAACAATTACAGTTTTATTTACTTGTTCGCTTTGTGTATTTGGATTCTCTAGCTTTGTTTCTTGCGAAATAATTTACAAAATATATATATATATATATATATTTATTTATATATATATATCAATTTTTGGTTTGTTAAAAAATACAAATATAAAAATTAATTAAGTAATAAATGCATATTTTTGTGTTCGTTTCTTTGCTGTTTTTTTTTTGTTTTTTTTTTTTTGGAAAAGCAAAAAAATTAAAAGTTTAACAAGAGATTAGAGACGAGAAAAACTTGGGGATTGGGGTTACTTAGTTATGTTGAGGACTGTTTAGACATAGCACAATAAATGTTAATAAATAAATGTTCGTTGTTCTGGAAACCTTTTTCGCCTTCTAACATGAATTTAAACCTGTTTTATTATCAATTAATTATATATTTTATTTTATTGTTTTTGTATTTTTGGTTAAATTATTTAAATTGAATTTATCTGGAGCGAAAAGTTGAAAGCATTCTAAGTATTTAGAAAATTTATTGTCCTTGTAAACATTGTTAATAGTTAATGTTAATAGTTTGGGTTCTTTTTTAATTTTTCGTTTTGTTTTTGCTTTAGGAGAAAGATTTTCTTTACATCAATACGCACATTGAAATTTGCTAATCATTTTCTTTAGAGACTTTTCCAAAGGTTTTGTTTTTCCTTTTTTTTATTCACTAAATTTAAATATTTTCGTTTTTCTTTATAAACGTGTTAGCTTAGAAATAGTTTTTTCTTTAGTTTTTGTAAGTAATTAATTGTTAAATAATGTTTAATAAGGCCAAATTAAGTTTTTCTTTTGCGCTTTAGCTTTATGTTTTGGGTTTTCTTTGTATATTAAATATTAATTTTAAATTGTTTTCTTTTCGTTTATTTTGTGCTCTAATTACGCAACTCGCATAAGCATTTTACATTTACAAAACATGAAGTATTCTTGCTTCCTTCTATTTTGTATTTTAATATTTCTTAATCTCTGTGGCTCCAGTAGCCGAAGGTTCCTAAATGCATGTGGGGGCGGCTCCTTCGTGTGGCGCAACTCTAGCTAAATGGAATGATCGTATAGGTGTTTCGCTTCGAAATATATTCTTCACTTTATCGATTATTGTGTAGCATTATATTATTATAATTTATAACTTTCGTACAAAATAAACAAGCAAAATGAAAAAAATAAGTTTCTTTGAAATTCTCGAAAATTTCCTTGTTTTTGGTGTTTTTGTTTTAAGTAAGAAATTTGAAACGCGCAGCAAGCGGTGGGTTTTCATATTAACATAAGTTACATTTGTGTGTGTGTGTGTGTATGTGTGTGTATGTGCATGTGTAGGTGGCATAATTTATTAAGTTTTGTATTTTTAAATCTGGCTTTAATACAGTTGGCTGATGTTTTAATACTTTTGCGAAAGAGCATCTAGCTCGTCGTTGTTTTTTTTTTTTCGATTTTTTTTTTTATTAATTTTATAAAGATTTGTTGTTTTTTTTATCAATATTGTCAAGTTAACGTTTGCTGTTGTTGTTGGGATGTTTGGTCCAAAAAATTGTTTTGTATTTAGACGGTTCGACGACAATTTTAAAGCTAAAAACATTTAACCGAATAAGTTTCACATTTATTCCGTTAGTAAACCGTAAAAGAAAATAATAATAGTTAATAAAATATAAGTGGAAATCGGGGTTCTGGCCCTGATTCGCTAATGAAATAAGCTTTGAGTATTTCGCAGCACTTGGTACTGGCTTCTCGCTCTTAAGCCTACAACGTAAACGTAAACGTAAATAGTTCGAATGTATAAAAATATATATACCTATATATACATACATATATATATATATATATATACTCATTCATGATTGAAACAAAAACAGTTTTCAACTTAAGTGTAACTCATTTAAAAATACTTTCTAAAAACAATATGCAAAATAAAATTAAAAATAATAAATTCGCTCAAACGAAAGGTTTTTAGCTCTTCTTCTTCTATCTTTTGGAGTTTTTTTAAACTCATTTTGTAGCAACAAAAATTAGACGAACAAAATATAAAAAATATCTATATATATCTATATAGAATATATAAAAAATATTTGTATCAACGCTCTGCCCAGTTGGCTGCCAGTTGCACATCTAGGCTATGTAACCGATATCTTGATGACAAAAGCTATTATAATTAATATTAATTTAATTCTTTGTTTTGTTTCGTTTTGTTGTTTTCGAGTTTTTGTGTCTTGTGTGTTTTGTGTTCCTGCACAATTTGAGATTTCTGCGTCTGTTTTAAGTACAGCATTTAAGTGCACTGTTAGTTCACTGTTAGACTTATGTTAAATGGCTGTTGTTGCTGCTCAGTTGAGCAGCATTTTGGCATTGAAGAAATTGAAGGCATGCCCGCCGTGGGACGGTGCGCCCGTTGGCGGCGTTGGTGGTGCCGCGAAGCGCTCATTGGGCAGCGGGTGCGGTGGTGCCATCAACGCTGCATGGTGCAGCGGGCTGGCAAAGAAAGGAGGCGGCGCTGGTGGTGCTTGGCCGTACGGAGCCGCTCCTGACCCAGACAGTAGCGGCGGCGGTGGTGGTGGTGGTGTTGCTTGCGGCGGTACTGTGCCCCCCCGCTGTTGCATATTATTACTGCTAGACAGCGGTGGCAACATGACGCCAGCGCCAGGCACGGACGGTGGCCAGGCAAGCGGCTGGCAGGGCAAACGCTGCTGCAGCCGCTGGTGGTGCTGCTGCTGCTGTTGGTGCTGTTGGAAAGCAGCCATGGCAGCCAGCTGATGGGGATAGTTGCTGCTGTGGTGGAGATGCTGTTGCTGTTGCTGCTGCTGCTGCTGGTGGTGGTTGCTGTTGTTCATCCTAGCCGAGTGAGCGGCGGGGCCGCGACGCTGCGGCCTGCCGGCGGCTGCTACGCAGGTGGGCGGCACTGAGGTGTCGCTTACCTATTCCCTGTAGGGCTTGCAGTAGGAGTAACGGTGGTTCATGTGCTGGCTGTAGCTGCCCGAGTGGGAGAAGCGCTTCAAGCACTTGGAACATTGAAATGGCTTCTCGCCGGAATGCAGACGCTTGTGCTCCGTCAAATGATGCTTATGCTTGAAGGCCTTGGGGCAGTCCATGCACTGATAGGGACGCTGACCTACAAATGGAATACTGATTAGCTGATGCTGCTTATGCCGCACCTGTGCAAAGCTCTGACTCACCGGAATGCTCGTACTTGTGGCGCGCCAGTGAGCTCTGCTTGGCGAACGCCTTGTCGCACTGATCGCAGACGAAGGGCAAGTCCGGATCTCCCGCATGGCCATGTGTTTCGGCCTTGACTCGCTTGGGCTTGGGCGGCAGCAGACCGCCGCTGGTCAGCACGTAGTCATCATCGTGCGAGATGCGCGAATCATCGTCGCGCCACGAACGCTTCTCGGAGCCGCCGGGGCTAAGGCTGGTGCCGCGATAGTCGGGCAGCTTAATACTGTTCATGAGCGGATTGGGCGCATAGTCGCCTCCGGGGCGCATCTGGAAAAGTGCCTCCATTGGCAGGCGTGGCAGCATGTAGGGCGGCAGCCCGGCAAATGCCTGGCCACGCGGTGCTGCGCTGTGCGTCGTCGCCAAAGCGGGCGCCGACTCGTGCAAGCTGGGCGGCGAGGGGGGCGCAAAGTAAAGCGCTGCAGCGGCAGCAGCAGCTGCCGCCGATTGCTGCAGCGATGAGGCGCCCGAGCAGGGCGACAACGAAGCTGGCGACATGGACGCCGATCCGGAGAGCTTGCGGCTCAGATTAATGGCCATGGACTCCTGAAAGTCAGCGGGTGCGGGCAGCACAGCTGCCTGCTGTGATGACAAGCCGTACAACGGCGAAGGATCACGTTTGACGGACAAGTCCAGCGGCTGATCCTCGCCAGCGCGTGGCTGCGGCACTGTTGGAGCTGCAGCTGCGGACTCGCCGTTGCTCGCATAGCTCTGCATCTTGCGTTCGCGTGAACGATTGTTCTGGAACCAGACTTGGACGACGCGCGCGTCTAGCTGCAGGCGGGCGGCTATCAAGCGAAACTCGTCCCGGCTGGGACGCGCATTGTGGGCGTAGTGCTGCTTGAGTTGCTGCTGCTGCTCCTCGTTGATGGCGGTGCGCACGCGCACTTTGCGCTCGCCACTGTCGCTGCCGCCAGCATGGTAATCCTGGCGTGGCTCCTCCTCGTCCTCCTCATCCTCGTCCGCATCGCTAGCTGACGGCAGCAGAGCAAAGCTCGACTGTGGCTGTTGCTGCTGTTGTTGGTGTTGCTGCTGCTGCTGCTGCTGTTGTTGTTGCTGCTGCTGCTGCTGCTGCTGCTGGTGCTGTTGATGTTGCTGTTGGTATTGCTGCTCCAGCTCCTCTTTGATAAGGCCGCACAGCACCTTCTCATGCTGCACCAGCTCTGTGGGATGATTGAATTGCTTGGCACAGCGGCTGCAGCGCAGAGCTTGAGGTGTCTGCGCACGCGATTGTTCCACGGTCGATGCCTCCAGCTCCTCCTCGTGCTCCACTTTGATGGACTTGGGCGTGTCCGGGGGCGTCGGCTCGCGACTGGGCTCCTGCTTGACAACGCCTACATCGATAGCAACTGGCTCAGCGACAGGCAATTCAGGGCTGGCCGTGGGCTTGGGCTCCGATTCTTCCAAATCCATAACCAATTTGGGCTCATCGGGCGTCTCATCATCATCTTTGCTGTTCTCATACAGTTTCTGCTCCTCTCTGTGATCCTGCTCCAGCTGCTCCTCCCGCTGCTGGTGTTGCTGCTGCTGCTGCCCGGCAGCAGTCAGCTCCAAGAGTCGCTGTATGCTGTAGGGATGCATGCGCGGATCCAGCGCGGCCGCCATAAAAGCATTCGGGAATGCCAACAAAGCCGCATTCATGGCATTGTAGTTGGAATAAAAGGGCGCGGGAGCGTTGACAGCAGTGGGTGGGCTTTGCACTTCGCCGGCAAAGTAGTTCATGGGATTGGGCAGCACCTGTTCGGGCAGCTTTCGCTTGCCCGCCATCTGCTGCTGCTGCTGATCTGAGGGCGAACGTCTAGCGTTCGAATTCTTGTCGAGAGTTTTGAGCATTTGGCGATTGTTGCTGAGCTTGAGGCCCATGCTAATGCACTTCTTGGAGGTCATGTGGGAGGAGAAGCTGCCCGAGTGTGAGAAACGCTTGCCGCAGTTGTCGCAGCCAAAAGGCTTCTCGCCGGAATGGATCCGCACATGCTCCTTCAGATGATGCTTGAATTTGAAGGCTTTGTCGCACTGGTTGCATTTGAATTTGCGCAGCAGCGCCGACTCGTCGTGACTGATCATGTGCCGCTGGAGGCGATACACGTTCGCGAAGGCCTTGTGGCATATTTTGCAGGTCTGCAATGAGTAGAGGGAATAAAATAAATTAAATATACATTCAAATTTAAAATCAAACAAAATTGTAATTCAATTTCAAATGAGACGCAAGTGCAATTATATACAGGGCAGCTTTTGTCCGTCGAGTGGCCATGCACTCTGTCGCTCTCATTCGCGCTCACTTGTTCTTGTTGGCGCTCCTTTAGCATATCATTTAGCCTGCATGTCAGTAGCTCAAGTGTTGACATTGTTGTTGTTGCCGTTGCTGTTGCTTTGGTCGTTATTGTTGTGCCTGCTTTTTATTTTGAGACTTGGTACGCACACATTTGCAGAACGAACGTACACACCGACGTACAGGTAATAAAAGTTGTTTAAAACAACAAAACGTGTGTATTTATTTGTTTTGCTGTGCTGTTTGAAATTTAACGGGATTTCGTTTGTTTCAAGGCCCGCAAAGCAAAACCAAAAACCACAACGCAAAAAAAACAACAAAAAATGTGATTTCTTGTGGCGCTGTTGCTTGGCAAGCAGATTAAAAGAGTTTAGCTGATTAAATGACCTAAACGCAAAACTGACACAAAAAAAATTGAAACTTAATTAAAAAACCAAACAATATGCGGGGTATGCAAAGCACGAAATTATAACGACAACCGACAGAAGAAGACTGAAGAAACTGGCAAAGGATTGTGGCAATCGAAGTAACCTAGCAGTCAGCTTGTAATTGTCATAGAGACGTTTACGCATGTGTGGACAGATGATGAAAGCGTAGGCAAAGCAACGAAGATAAGCAAAAAAGCAACAATTAAAAAGTAGCCGATTGTGTGCGTGTGGCGAGTGTCGAGTGCACGACACGTTTGGTATGATGAAAACTAATTGAAAAATAAAAAAAACTTCAATGGAAAATATTGCGACAAAGCGCCAATAAGAATTGGAAACATAAACATCAACAAACGCCGGCAAGTGAAGAAATAAACAAAAAGTCGATCGGAAAAATAGAATTAAAGCTCTAGACAAATCAAATCAAATCAAATCATAGCGTATCGTATCGTTTCAGCAGCTGATGCTAATCAAAAGCGAATGCGTTTGTTTGTCTTTGAATTGTTTGGCAACAAATTGAACGCATCAAATGCAACTTTGTTTCTGCTGCCGCGTTGGGAAAGGTGCACAGTAAAATGAAAGCGCAAGCCGCCTGACTGACAGGCGGCTCCACTTAGCCAGCGCGCTGAAAGATTTGCGGCACTTTCACTCGGCCAACATATGGCAACACGTGTTGCACCGTACCATCGCCCCACCTCTGTCTGTACGGCAACGCTTGTTTACACGCTGCCGTTGAACTTTCCTGCTACTGCTGCAGTGCAGCTCACCTCAGCTATTTGTTGCTCTTTATAAATAAATACATATATAAAACATGCCAGATTGTTATTGTTGTAAAGTTCATGACATTGTCGTTGGTGCCGCTGCAGCACCTTTTTATCAGCCATCAACTTTGAATGTGTCTGCTCAATACGCCATCAAATCTGTCTGTATACATATAACCGTAACGCTCTTTGTCGTTGCCCAAGCCTTGACTTGCATGACGCGCACTCTATCTTCGCAAATTAAGAGAGTGCGTTCTTACTGTGTGGCTTGGACTTTGATAGGTTACTCAGCAGCAGCTTTGCATGAATTTCAATTAACAGACAAATGTATGAGTATGTGTATGGCTTGTGTGTGTATGTGTGCTTTAGTGTGACCAGTTCTTAGTCATAATTTCAGCACAAAGCCAATTTATAAATGAGCTCTTGACATGAGATCACAATCCTATGGAGAGGGATACGGGAGCTCAGGGTCAGTAGAATAGTCCCAACTAACGGTTGCACTCCGGCCTAATTAGTTTGTACATTAACGGTGACATTGTGTTTATTTGTATAGCAAGTGGAAAAAAAACACTGAAATACGCCCAATAATTACGCGCGGCCAGTTTCAGGCCTAATTTGTTTGTTTAACAGCCGTTTGCACATTAAAAAACAACAACATCAACATCAACATTTGTTTTGTTTTTCCAAAGTGAAAAACTTTAAACTACAATTCGATTTTCGCTTTGAGTGAAATGTGAGCGCCGGCTGGCGTCGGCTGATGGAGCGGAAGAGCCGCAGAAGCAACATAAATTTCCGCTTCCGCTAGTTATGAGTGGCGTGGGGCAGGGTGCGAATGGCTAATTCATGTTGTTTTACCTGTTCTTTTAAATGCTGTTAAAAATTTTGACTTGTGCGCTGACGTCACACAACCCTGAACAGTCGCCATTTGCCAGAGCTAAAGCAAGAGCAAGAGCGAGCACACGAATGTATGCACAAAAGAAAACAAAGCAAAAGCGAACTAAGCGAACGAGTTTTAACATGCTCTTCAACATGGTGGCTACGGTTGCGGCTACGGCAACGGCAACGGCTACCTGTTGCGCTCACACACTCACAGAGCCAAACTCGTTATCGCTGTTGCCATCTCCTACTCACGGCATGAAGTTACGCTATTGCTCTCTTTGTCTCTCCACCTTTACGAGCGTGCGCGCGTGTGTATGCATGTGTGTGTGTGTGTACGTAAGCCACAGCAATGTGTGGAAAGAGCAAAGAGTAAATACGCCCACCTCTGCTTAAGTACAGTGTGGACATTATTAACACGCTTTGTTGTCGCACAAACGCTCTTGTTATTATTTCTATTGTTATCAATTAAATGTAAAATAAAATGGCAGTCGCATACCGCGGCGTACAGTTTTACAGAAGGTAAGCGACAGCTTGGCTGCATGCGTCAGCGCGACTCTTATGCATTTTTTTCTGCTGTTGTTATTATTATTATTAGTGTTCGTCATGCGCTGCGAACGGAAATACCAATTGTAGCTACCTTTCGTTAATAGTGGCCACACAAAGATGCCCTGGCACTAAGTGGAACAACAACTCATGTTCCGTTGACTCAAGTGCCAGTTGGCGGACTTAGGAAATCGATTCGTTCGAAAATAGTATAAGTTACTTATTAAGTACATTGTAACCTTTGCGCTACAAGATAAGCTACGCACACGTGCGTCTATTTATAAGTTCTCTCTTACACTCTCTCTGTCTCATTCTAACTCTGACAGAGCTCGCATAGGCGTTTAAAATTCGATTGGAAACAAAAGCTGCTTGCTACCCATTAAACTACATATGCTCATACATATGTAAGCATGTGTGTGCATGTGTGTGTTTTTTTGCTTTTGAAACTGTCTAATTAATTTCTACTGAATTCTATGCCTCATGGCACAGCCAATTAAGAGCGTGTGTACCTTAAGCCTTCTGCGTTTCTCAGCCATGATGTCATTGATACACGAGCGTTGCTCATTAAGCACCATACGCACACCCAAACATAGTATATGCATGTATTTTCAGCGCCCATTGCTTATCTCTCGTTGGCTTGTTATCAAGCCAAGAGGCATTTCTTGTAAAAGCCGAAAATACCAAAATTTTGCCGGAAATCGTATGCCATGTGCAGCAGACCCCACACAGCAGTTTCAAAGCACAAATCAAGCTAAACGAAGCTGACAGAGAGAGAGAGAGAGAAAGGGAGAGGAAGAGAAAGGCATTGCGAGAGCAAGAGAACGTCCAGCAGGTCCGGCAACGCTAATTGCAGGCGACAGTAGCCTTTTGCTATAATTATAAAGCAACGTAGGTGGGCGCCAAATTCAAAAGACAGATACGAATACAGCGACAGCGCCAAGTGCTCTAATAGAGAAATCAAGCAAAAGTAAAAATATACGTATATAAGAAGCGATGTGTGTGTGTGTGGTAGACACACCGCTAATTTGTGAGAGTATTTGATGCATTGAGTGACATGAGAATTTGGCCATAATAGCGCACATAATTGGCTCTAAAGCAAAAGGGCGACGCTGGGTGGGGCAGGCGCGCGAACAAGCTTTTAAAGTGACATCTTCAAAAGAATTGTCGGCCGCTAAAAACTTGACAAAATGCCGCCGTCAGCATGGAAATACGTCTATATATATATATCTGAATACTATATATGATAATATAGATATATATATTTATATATATATATATATAGAGAAGCGCACCTGTCGCCACTGGCAGAGCATAAACAAAATTAACAACAAGCGACATGCTCGAGTTGTCGCTTTGTTGCTGTTGTTGCCTGTTTTGAGGTCAGTCTAAACACATTTCTGCTTGCAGAGCGCGAAAGAAACAAAAACATTTATTAACGACGCCACAAAACGAAAATGTTTAAGCAAAAACATTTAATAATATATGTCTAACTGCTTTATAGCAACTGCGACCCAATTTTCTAGGCTTATCTGTGCTAACAACAACAATAAGAAAACAGAAATAAATTATATATACCTAATATATATATAAAGCTGTGTCTGATTAGAGCAATGAATGAATTTCTAGTTAGCATTGACGTACCTTCACAATACAAGAAGAAGAAGAAGAAGAGGAGGAGGAGGAGGAGAAGGCAAGGAGGAAGCGAACAGATAATGCCTAGTATAGCCTAGTAGAGTGAATCGGCACACGAGAGTTCGGTTCGATCGGGGTTATCGTTATCGAAAGTGTTTTTATTTTTGCCTAGGTAGCAGTAGATTGACATGCCATATAGGGTTTTTGAACTCGCTCGATTAGCCTGGAGAGGTGCGCCCTATATACAGGCATAGAGCGAGAGCGAGAGAGAGGGAGAGGGAGATAAGACCCGGGCAGAAATATTTCATATTTGCTTAAGTGTATTTCGTGGTAAAAGTTCATTAACATTTACTCTTTGGCCAAAACGAATCGAACAGAAATACATTTATATATTTATTTAATTTTTTCTTCTTGTTTCGCTTTTCTTCTCTTAAAATTGATTAACAGGAAAATACTTTTAAGCGTTGGCAATTTATATTTGGCCTGTCGCATTTTTCAATATTTTATGGCGCATTGCAGCTGGAGAAATAATAATAACAAAATACAAATAAAAATAAAAGAAATCTTGAGCAAACGGAAACTCAAAGAAATTTCATTTAGTTTGGCTGC